TTCCTCCACCAAGGTGACCAGCCGGACGACAGCAGAGTTCAACGGTGCAGGTGAGCCCCCCCACCCCGCTCCCTTGTGGGGTGTCGCACCCCCAGAACTAGGGTGGGGCCGGCGGGTCTCTCACCGGCGGGTCTCTCACCGGCCCCCCTCTCCCCTCCCCAGAGATCTGCAGGCAGACGCTGCCCCCCGAATTCAGTGCCCACTTCTTCCCCCACCCGACGCCCGACGGCTTCACCTGCACCTCCCTGTGCACCGGGGGGGCGCCGGGCGCCCTCGGCTGCAACGCAGGGCAGTGCCGGGTGTCCCGTGCCGGCGCCCACTGCCGGTAAGTGTCACCCACCCACCCCCACGGAGAGGGTCCCACCCGTACAGCGGGGAAATGACACACACAGCCTGGGTCCCGCCCTGGCTGGGGAACTCCCCCTTCACGGCCCTGTGCCCTATCCATGACCCCAACCTGTATCCTTCCTTGGGAGGTGACTTCCCCACCCTGGCCCTGTGCCCTAACCCCCATTCCCCTCTCAGAGGGGACCCTCCCCGACCCTTGCTCCATACCTAGGCCTGGCCAAACGTACAAGGTTGACAGCGGCTAGCCATGTCTCTTTGTAAGCGTTTTCTCTTTCTGTTTGGATCCGTTCACGGGCTCTCGGTCGCTAGCAGACAGAGGTCTATAGCCCGGTCCCTCCCTACCGCTGGAGGCTGAAGCTTGACAAATTCAGGCTAGAAATAAGGCACCAAATTTCCAACTGGGAGGGTTATTAACCACGGGAACAATTTCTCCCCGGGGACAGGCTGGAGTCTCCAAGACCGGCTGTTTCTAATAGATCTGCTGCAGGGATTATTTGGGGGGCAGGTCTCTGGCCCGTGCGATACGGGGGTGGGGGGGTGACTAAATTAGGGTGACCAGACAGCAAGTGTGAAAATTCGGGACATGTTTTTTCGGGGAGCGGGGATGGTTGCCCATATAAGACAAAGCCCCTAATATCGGGACCTCCGGCCATCCTAGGCCAGAGGATCATAATGGTCCCGTCCAGCCTTGGAATTGAATCCCTGAAATTTCGGGGATCAGACCACGGCAGGGTGACAGAGCCGCTGTTTTAATGACAATAGACGCTGAGGTGCAGAGCCGTCAAAAACCACCCACTGTCAGGGTCACAGCTGGTCAAAAGCCACATGGCCCCCGGCCTTATCGCCTCGACCCTCGGCCGGCGTCCTGCGGGCTTGGCCCGTCTGCACCGTGTCAAGGGGAACGTCGCAGGGTTGACCGATTGAAAACTCGCATCCTTCCAAGCCTGCCTATGTCCTGATCCCTGCCCCTAACCCCCACCCCTTACCCCTGCCCCTAACCCCGACTCCGACCCTGGCCTCCAACCCTAACCCCTGACCTCAAACCCTAACCCCTGACCCTGACCTCTGACCTTAACCCCGACTCTGACCCTGGCCTCGAACCCTAACCCCCGACCCTGGCCTTGAACCCTAACCCCTGACCTTGAACCCTAACCCCCGCCTCTAATCCTAACCCCTGACCCCTTATCCTGACTCTGACCTCGAACCCTAACCCCTGACCTCGAACCCTAACCCCTGACCCTGACCTCTAACTCTAACCCCAACCCTGACCTTAACCCCGACTCTGACCCTGGCCTCGAACCCTAACCCCCGACCCTGGCCTTGAACCCTAACCCCTGACCTTGAACCCTAACCCCTGACCCCTAACTCTAACCCCAACCCTGACCTTAACCCCGACTCTGACCCTGACCTCGAACCCTAACCCCCAACCCCTTACCCCTGACCCTAACCCCGACTCCGACCCTGGCCTCGAACCCTAACTCCTGACCTCGAACCCTAACCCCCGACCCTGGCCTCGAACTCCGAGTCTGCTCCTAACCCCGACCCCGACCCTGGTCTCGAACCCTAAGCCCCGACCCTGGCCTCGGACCCTAACTCCCGACCCTGGCCTTGAACTCTAACTCCTGACCCCTGAATTGTAACCCTTAGCCCTCACCCTGCTTCTCCCTTGGCCGGGGAAGTCTCGCCCAGGCCCCAAGCCCTGCCTCGAGCCCCTCCCAGGGGGCGGGGGGGACGCTCGAGGAAGGGGCTCGGGGCCGTTCTCACCCGCGGCATCTGCCCCCCGTAGCTGCCCGGAGAGTGGCCGGTTCTGGTACCTGGGCGCCAGCTGCGAGGTGCAAATCGACCGGGTCGGCGGCACCCTCAGCATCGTCGCCCTCACAGCCTTTGTGCTGCTCAGCGGCGCCCTCCTGCTGGTGAGAGAATCCGCCCGGCGCTGGGCAGGGGCCTGCGGCTGGACCCCCGGGGCGGTGGGAGGGGACCCTGCGGCTGCCCCCCGGGGCGATGTGTGGGGGGACCCTGAGGTTCGATCTCCAGGGCGGTGGGGGGGGGGACCCTGCAGCTGCCCCCCCGGGCAATGTGTGGGGGGACCCTGAGGCTGGACCCCCGGGGAGGTGTGTGTGTGGGAGGTGGGGATCCTGCGGCTGCCCCCCGCCGAGGAGGCGGGGGGGGACGACTTTTCTGTTAATGCGCCTTCCTTGCAAGGTCTCACAACTCTTCTCTCTCCCCCCCCCCCCGCACTTTTGGCTGCAGTCCTACAGGTCAAAGGTCACGGAGTGCCTACGCTGCCGGGGGGGGCACTGACCTCACCTCCCCCCCGCCTGGCCCCCAGGGGCCAACGGGCCCAGCAGGGGGAGGGGAGCACTGTGCAGCCGACCGATGCTGACTTGAACCCTGGGCCGGGCCACCCAGCACCGCGGTGAGCGTGGGGGGAACCCACATCGTATTTGGGGTCCATGCAGCGCCTGGCGCAACGGGGGCCCCCCGGGTCCCAGCCGGTGCAGCTAGGATCTGCCGAGAGCCCAGGAAGCCGCAGCCCACGGTCTGGGCCGACAGCAGGGGCTTCTGGGGAGGGGGGTTTTGATGGGTGCTCGACGCGTCTCAGCCGGACCCCGCGCCCTGGGACCGTCGCCCCCGGGACGCAGACGGAGCATAACCCTGGCCGTGCAGGGACCCCCGCCCCCGGCCCCAGCTCCCGCCTGACAGCCCCCGAGGGATCCAGCCCTCACGGTCCTGCCCCATCTCCGGGCTGGTGGAGGCTTCAGGGCACCCCAAGCAGGGGGCTGCACCACCAACCCTCTCGGAGAAAAGCTAGGCACGGCCCCGTCCATCAGTAGGGGAGGAAGGGGTGAGACCAGGGGACAGGCTCAGGTTAGTGACAGGAGATGGGGGAGGTTGGGGGCCAACGGCGGGGCCTGGGGTGGGTTTGGGATTATGACAGGGGCTGCGGGTGGATTTGGGGTTAACAGCAGGAGCTAGAGGTAGGTTTGGGGCTAATGGTAGGGGGTAGGGGTAGGTTTGGGGTTACGGGGGGGAGCTGGGGATAGATTTGGAGTTACAAGGGGAGCTTGGGGGTAGGTTTGGGGTTACGGGGGGAGCTGGGGTAGGTTTGGGGTCAATGGAACAGGAGCAAGTTCGTGGGCAGGGCAGCCAGAGGCATGATGCGGGTGGAGGGAACCAGCATTAAATGGGGCATTAGGACCCGCGGGGGGGGCTCATATGGGACCCCAAGGAAAAGGGGGCAGAGAGACCGGCACGGTGAGCCGGCGGATCGTGCCGGCAGAACCCTGGCTCTGGCCCCTCTGAATCCTGCCATCACCTTTGTGACCCACTGCTCTGACCCCCACCCCCCTGGTAGCGCCCAGGGCCGCAGACCTGCCCCCTAAGTCCTCCCCAGCGCCAAGCGGGTAGAAACACAGCCCAGATGTGGCTGACGGAGGGGGGGCCGTCCCGGGGTGAGTTACGGTCACTGAGAGCCATCTCATTGCCTGGCCAAACGTGTCCCGCCCCCCTGGCCGGGCTTACGCTGTCTGTGCCGGACGCCAGCGCCCGCGATTAAATATTGGCTCCCCCACCACGGCGATGTTCGCCCCGGCCTCGCGTCGCCCCTGGACTGGCTCTGGGTTAAGCTCCGGGAGGCTCCCCCGCGCTCCGGCCGGGTTTCAGACCCTTCTCGTGGCTCTTCTTCAAGCCGGATCCGCACGCCAAGCCCCCGAGGGCACTGCCCGTGGGCCAGGCCGGCTGCGCTCACCTCCCCAGCAGGAGCAGGTGGGCGGAACCCCGGAGGTCCCGCCCCGAGGGTTTGGAGGCCGCGGGGGACGGAAGAGCGGGACCCCTTGAGGGTCACAGCACAGACCCGGTGGGTCGACAGCGCTGCCCTGAGAGACAGATGTTGTGGCCCACCTGGGTGTGCAAACTCGCACACTCTGCGCTGGACACGTGCAACGCGGCACGACAGCGTCCCGGAGAGAAACCCCCGCCCCGAGCCCTGCGCGCACGGAGGGACGCAGAGAAGCCACGGCGCGGGCCACGGCCCGGGCCCCACCCCTGTGGCCCCGAGGAGCCAGCCACCCACCCCCAAGCAACGCAAGCACGGAGCCGGGGAGTCTGGCTCACGCGGCGACCCAGTGCGAACGTGGAGACACACAGCCGCACCCAGAGACCTCGCACGGCCGCACGCACAGAGCTGCATGGACGCAGGCCAACACCCGCACGCCCACACTGATAGTAACTGTGACGGAGCGGGACTGTTCTTAATGTGTTCTCTGAATACTGTCGGGGTGCCTCAGTTTCCCCCAGGCAGTTCTTAAGTCTCTAGGTGGGGGGATAAGGGGGCGGGATTGTGGCAGAGCCCTAGGGGGCCAGTGTGAAGGTGTAGAGAATGGCCGACACCCTGGCTCCTGATGGCCTGGGCCTTCCCCCCTGCAAGGTGCCAGCTGAAGGGTTGGAGAACAAAGAGATCAGGGGCCCGGAAAGAGACAAAGGCCAGAGGATGGGGGGCTGGAGAGTTTCAGTTTGGAGCTGGCTGGGGAAATGGAGGGGGGCCCAGAGGGGGCGCTGGCCTCCCTGCCCCCCAAAATGGACCTGACTGAGGGGTCCTGTTCTCTGCACCTACAAGCTCTGTGTCAGACCACATCCCCTGTCGTCTAATAAACCTTCTGTGTTACCGGCTGGCTGAGAGTCCCGTCTGACTGCGGAGTTGGGGGGCAGGACCCTCTGGCTGCCCCAGGACCCCGCCTGGGTGGACTCGCTGTGGGGGAAGCGCACGGAGGGGCAGGGGGGCTGGAGGCTCCGGGGTCAGACCCAGGAAGGGGGAGGCCGGGGGTGCTGTGTGTCCTGCAGACAGGCTGCTCCCCGAGGGGAGACTCCCCCAGAGCCCTGCCTGGCTTCGCGGGGAGCAGCTCCAGAGCGTCGCCCGGGGACCCCGGGACAGTAACACACACACGTCTGCGGACACACGGACACTAACCCACATATCTGTGCACACGCACGCACAAACGGACACAGTGGCACGAACGCACGCAAGTCTACACGCACACTAAGGTCACAGACACACAGTAACGCACACACACATGGACACACTAACCACACCTACACATGAAATGGTTGCACACCCACGCACATTGCAGAAAACCTAGAGCCACGTGCTCACAAGTACGCCCGGCAACATCACGCAGTGAGACCTACGGAGGTGCAGACAGGCTAACCACCCCCCGCAGACACGCACCCCCTGCACACAGAAGTTAACCACACGCCTGCACCCCCACAGAGCCCGTGACACACACACACACGCTCATGACACAAACCACAGAGCCCCGTGTGCAGAAACATCCCCGCAGAGCAACGCAAATGCACGGACACACGCCCGCACGTGCGTGCACAAGAAGACACAAATGCGGCCGTGCAAACGCACCCCCCCCCCAGACACAGCCGTGCGCACTGCACTCTCCCCTCCAGCACCAGCGGGGGGTGCAGAGCCGGGGCAGAGGGTTGCGATTTTGGGGCGCGGGGAGGACAGCTGGGCTCACCCCCTTCAGCAGGGGCCGGGTGCCCAAAGCTGCACCCACCTCCCCCCCCCACGTTAATCTCAAAGCTCTTCCAGCACAGAGACCACCAGCTGGGACCAGGCTGGGGGGGAGGGGGCAGGGCCACCCCCATTGCCCAAATGGGGAAACTGAGGCCCGGGGATGGGGGCAAAATGATGGGTGCACGCAGCCCTGTGGGGCTAGGGGCTGTGGATTTGTGTGGGGGCCTGGGGGCGGAGCTTGCCACGGTGGCGGGGAGGGCTTTGGGCTGTGCGGGGGGGCTGGGAGGGGGGCAGGGCCCTGTGGGGCTGGGGGCCGGTGTTTGGCAGCCCGGGGGTCGCTCTCCCATGTGGGTTTGGGGGACCGAAGGCTCGGAAACACCCGGCCCCTGGGCCCCACTTTCACTTTCGTTTCTCCACCCTGACGCCGGAGCCTGCACTGCGGGGAGTCGAGAGGCCTGAACCGCCCCCCCCCCGCCCGGGCTGAGGTAACTCCCCCCCGCCCCCCACAGGCCCAGCTGCGTCTCCCCTAGGGCTCCCCCCGGCACCCCGCACCCCACTGCAAACAGAGCTGGAGCCCCCCCCTGCTCTCACCTGCCAGCCCCCGCTCCCCTCCCCTCCCAGCGCTGGGGAGAGAACCCAGGCGTCCTGGCTCCCAGCCCCGCCTGCTCTAACCCACCAGCCCCCACTCCCCTCCCAGCGCCGGGGAGAGAACCCAGGCGTCCTGGCTCCCAGCCCCCCCTGCTCTAACCCTCCAGCCCCCCCTCCCAGTGCTCCGGAGAGAACCCAGGCGTCCTGGTTCCCAGCCCTCTGCTCTCACCCACCAGCCCCCCCTCCCCTCCCAGTGCCGGGGAGAGAACCCAGGCGTCCTGGCTCCCAGCCCCCCCTGCTCTAACCCACCAGTCCCCCTCCCCTCCCAGAGCCGGGGAGAGAACCCAGGCGTCCTGGCTCCCAGCCCGCCCTGCTCTCACCCACCAGACCCCGCTCCCCTCCCAGAGCCAGGGAGAGAACCCAGGCGTCCTGGCTCCTTGTCCTGTAACTCTCCATACCCGTCCTAGGTGCTTCCAGCAGACTCCTTGCCGCTGTGTCTCTGCCGGTTCCCAGGCCCCGTGGGTACGACCCCCCCTCCCCCGCCCTTTGCCGTGGCGTCATGGCCTCGGACGCCCCGTCCCTCTTGGACGCGTTAGCCACCGACTTCCTGACCTGCCCCATCTGCCTGGAGCGGCTGCGCGGGCCCAAGATCCTGCCCTGCCTGCCTACCTACTGCCAGGGCTGCCTGGAGGGGCTGCTGGGCGAGGGGCCGGGGCTGCGGTGCCCCGAGTGCCGGGAGGACGTGTCCCTGCCGCAGGGGGTGGCCGGCCTCAAGACCAACTTCTTCGTCAACGGGCTGCCGGAGCTGCTGCGGCCGGTGGGCGAGGCGGGGCTGACCTGCGCCCTGTGCCCGCTGATCGGGCAGGAGGACGGCCGCCCGGCCGTCTCCCGCTGCCTGGACTGCACCGACAGCCTGTGCCAGACCTGCGCCGCCGGCCACCGCTGCTCCCGGCTCACCCACGCCCACCGGCTGGCGAGCCTGCAGGGCTACCTCTCCGGGGAGCACGACGAGGAGATCCGGCAGCGCCAGGCCGTGCGGTGCCCCGAGCACCCGGCCCAGGAGCCCTGCGCCGGCCCCATCTGCCGGGAGTGCCGGCTGGGCCCGCACCTGGAGCACCCCTGCCAGACGCTGGAGGAGGCGGCCCCGGGTGGCCGAGCTGCTGGCCGGCGTGGAGGAGACGGCAGGGCGGGCGGCCCGGGGGCGGGCGGCGCTGGAGGAGGTGCTGGCCGCCCTGCGGCGCCACGTGGAAGGGCGCGAGAAGGCGGCCGGCCTGCTCCGGACCGAGCTGGAGCTGCAGGAGCAGCTGGCCCGCGGCACGGCCGACGTCACCCGCAAGGTGCTGGCCCTGGGCCGGCCGCTGGAGATCGTCTCGCTGGAGGCCTTGATCGGCCAGCGGCTCGGCCGGCTCCGGGGCTTCCGCTGGGAGCCCCTTGGGGGGCCGCGCCCCCGGCTGGTCGTCCGCGCCGAACTCCAGAGCCTGAGCGGCCTCTTCCAGCTGGACCTGGGCGAGGCCGAGCCGGACGGCCGAGGGGAGGAGAGTGGCCAACATGACGCCCCTGCCCCGCGGCCGCCAGCCCCTGCCCCGCGGCCGCCGGCCCCCTGCCCCGCAGCCTCCGCTGTGCCGGCCGCTCCCCACCGCCCGATTCTCCTGCAGCTTCTCGGAGGGGGTCCCCGGTGACCAGCACCGGCCCCGGATCACGGGGATTTGCCCCCTGGGCCCTAGGGAGCTGCTCCTGGCCGACGAGGAGAACCGCAGCCTCAAGTGCTTCTCGCTGCAGGGGGACTTCCGGGACGCCATCCTGGTCCACGGGGGCGCGGCCCCCTGCAGCGTGGCGGCCGTGGGCAGCCGGGTGGCCTACACCGCCGGCTCCCGGCTCTACCTGGCGGAGCGGGACGGCGCCCTGGTCTGGCAGAAGGCCCTGCCCCCCACCCAGGCCAGCCACGCCATCACGGCGGCAGCGGAGGGGGGCGCCGCCGTGGCTGTGAGCGTGGCAGGGCACCTGGAGGTCTATGACGCCCGGGGGGAGCTGGTGGAGAAGATTTTCCTGGACAGGCACGACTGTCTGGCCATGGTGTTCGTGGCCGGCCGGGGCGGCCGCTACGTGGCCTCGGACTGGCATGGGCGCAGCGTGGTGGCGTTTGACGGCCACGGGCAGCAGCTGGCGGAGCTGGGCGAGGAGCGGCTGGAGGGGTGCCAGCCGGGGGCCGTCTGCGCCGACGACGGGCCATTTCTACGTGGCCCTGCGGGAGCCGAACAAGGTGATGGCGTTCGGGCCGGGCGGGGAGGCGCTGGGGCCCTTCCTCACCGCCCGGCACGGCATCGAGAGAGCCCGGGTGGCCACCGTCACCGGGGACAGGCACTTCGCCGTGGCGCTGAGCGACGGCACCGTCCATGTCTTCCACATCCAGTACCTGCGTCACTGAGCCGGGGGCGGGGGGGGGGGATACACAGGCAGGGGAGAGCTGAGAAGACTGTGGGTGTGCGTGTCTGTGTGTGCATTCCTGTGTGTGTGAGTGTCCCGGAGTCCCCGGGCGATGCTCTGGACCTGCTCCCTACGAAGCCAGGCAGGACTCTGGGGGAGTCTCCTCTCTGTGAAAAGAACAGGAGGACTTGTGGCACCTTAGAGACTAACCAATTTATTTGAGCATGAGCTTTCGTGAGCTACAGCTCACTTCATCGGATGCATTCAGTGGAAAATAGGGTGGGGAGATTTATATACACAGAGAACAGGAAACAATGGGTGTTACCCTACACACTGTAACCAGAGTGATCGGGTAAGGTGAGCTATTACCAGCAGGAGAGCGGGGCGGGGGGGGGGGGGGAGAAAGCCTTTTGTAGTGATAATCAAGGTCGGCCATTTCCAGCAGTTGACAAGAACGTCTGAGGAACAGCGGGGGTGCGGGGGGGGGGGAATAAACATGGGGAAATAGTTTTACTTTGTGTAATGACCCATCCTCTCCCAGTCTTTATTCAAGCCTAAGTTAATGGTGTCCAGTTTGCAAATTAATTCCAATTCAGCAGTCTCTTGCTGGAATCTGTTTTTGAAGGCTTTTTGTTGAAGAATTGCCACTTTTAGGTCTGTAATCGAGTGACCAGAGAGACTGAAGTGTTCTCCGACTGGATTTGAATGTTGTCATTCTTGACATCTGATTTGTGTCCATTTATTCTTTTACATAGAGACCGTCCAGTTTGACCAATGTACATGGCAGAGGGGCATTGCTGGCCCATGATGGCATAGATCACACTGGTGGATGCGCAGGTGAACGAGCCTCTGATAGTGTGGCTGATGTTATTAGGCCCTGTGATGGTGTCCCCTGAATAGATATGTGGGCACAGTTGGCAACGGGCTTTGTTGCAAGGATAGGTTCCTGGGTTAGTGGTTCTGTTGTGTGGTATGTGGTTGTTGGTGAGTATTTGCTTCAGGTTGTGGGGCTGTCTGTAGGCAAGGACTGGCCTGTCTCCCAAGATTTGTGAGAGTGATGGGTCATCCTTCAGGATAGGTTGTAGATCCTTCATAATGCGTTGGAGGGGTTTTAGTCGGGGGCTGAAGGTGATGGCTAGTGGCGTTCTGTTATTTTCTTTGTTAGGCCTGTCCTGTAGTAGGTGGCTTCTGGGAACTCTTCTGGCCCTGTCAATCTGTTTCTTCACTTCCGCAGGTGGGTATTGTAATTGTAAGAAAGCTCGATAGAGATCTTGTAGGTGTTTGTCTCTGTCTGAGGGGTTGGAGCAAATGCGGTTGTATTGCAGAGCTTGGCTGTAGTCAATGGATCGCATGGTGTGGTCAGGGTGAAAGCTGGAGGCATGTAGGTAGGAATAGCGGTCAGTAGGTTTCCGGTATAGGGTGGTGTTTATGTGACCATCGTTTATTAGCACTGTAGTGTCCAGGAAATGGATCTCTTGTGTGGACTGGACCAGGCTGAGGTTGATGGTGGGATGGAAATTGTTGAAATCATGGTGGAATTCCTCAAGGGCTTCTTTTCCATGGGTCCAGATGATGAAGATGTCATCAATGTAGCGCAAGTAGAGTAGGGGCGTTAGGGGACGAGAGCTGAGGAAGCGTTGTTCTGAGTCAGCCATAAAAATGTTGGCATACTGTGGGGCCATGCGGGTACCCATAGCAGTGCCGCTGATCTGAAGGTATACATTGCCCCCAAATGTAAAATAGTTATGGGTAAGGACAAAGTCACAAAGTTCAGCCACCAGGTTAGCCGTGACATTACTGGGGATAGTGTTCTTGACGGCTTGTAGTCCATCTTTGTGTGGGACTGTTGGTGTAGAGGGCTTCTACATCCATAGTGGCCAGGATGGTGTTATCAGGAAGATCACCGATGGATTGTAGTTTCCTCAGGAAGTCAGTGGTGTCTCGAAGGTAGCTGGGAGTGCTGGTAGCGTAGGGCCTGAGGAGGGAGTCTACATAGCCAGACAATCCTGCTGTCAGGGTGCCAATGCCTGAGATGATGGGGCGCCCAGGAGTTCCAGGTTTATGGATCTTGGGTAGTAGATAGAATATCCCAGGTCGGGGTTCCAGGGGTGTGTCTGTGCGGATTTGATCTTGTGTTTTTTCAGGGAGTTTCTTGAGCAAACAGTGTCGTTTCTTTCGGTAATCTCTCGGGGAGCAGCCTGTCTGCAGGACACACAGCTCACCCATCTACGACCTTCCTGGGTCTGACCTCAGAGCATTCAGCCTCCTCTGCCCCTCCGTGCGCTTCCCCCAGCGAATCCACCCAGGCAGGGTCCTGGGGAAGCCAGAGGGTCCTGCCCCCCAACTCCGCAGTCAGACGGGACTCTCAGCCAGCCAGTAAAACAGAAGGTTTATTAGACGACAGGAACATGGTCTAACACAGAGCTTGCAGGTGCAGAGACCGGGACCCCTCAGCTGGGTCCATTTTGGGGGGCAGTGAGCCAGACAACCACGTCTGCCTTTCACTCCATGTCCCCAGCCAGCCCCAAACTGAAACTCCCTCCAGCCCCTCCTCCTCTGGGCTTTGTCCCTTTCCTGGGCCAGGAGGGCACCTGATTCCTTTCTTCTCCAACCCTTTAGCTCTCACCTTGCAGGGGGAAGGGCCCAGGCCATCCGTGGCCAGGAAACAGGGTGTCGGCCATTCTCTGTGTCCAGACTCCTGCCCACACCTGCCCTCTAGGGCTCTGCAAGGATCATACACCCTTACCCCACCCCCTAGAGACTTAAGAACTGCCTAGGGGAAACTGAGGCACCCTGACACAATTCAGAGGAAACGTTAAGAACAGTCTCTCTTCGTCACAGTGAGTACATGCATTAGCGTGTGTTGGTGCGCACATTTGTGTGTGCATTAGTGTGTCTGTGATCTCTGAGTGGGAGTATTTGAGGCGTGTGTGTGCAATGAGCACGTTAGTGTCACTGTGAGCAGTGTGAGCATGCACGGGTGAATGTGCGTTGAGCATGAGCCTGTGTGCGCAGGGGTTGTGGCTGAGGGTGCAAGGGATTGCCCTATTGTGGGCATGCTGGGCTGGGGGGGGGGGGGACGCTGGTTTGTGGGACGGTGGGAGAACGGCCCCTGAAGGCACCAGACCCAAACTGCCTCCCCACACTTTGTGCCAATGGGCGGGCACCCAGCCAAGCGATATGGGGCCCCGGCCTCATGGCCCCACTGCACTGGGCTCGCCCAGGAGCCGCCGTGGGCTGAGTGTGGGAGGGGGGCACCGATGGCGTCGGTAGGGGCCCAGTGGGGGGCTGTCTGTCCGACCTGCCCTGCATCTCAAGGTGTAAAACCAGAACGACCCGCCAATAAACGGAGATGGATTTTATCTAGCGGCTGCTGACTCTGTCCTGGGGGGGACCAGCAGGGGGCGCTGCACTGGAGGGCGGGTGGGGGAGCCAGGAGGGGGCAGGAGATCAGTTGGGGGGCTGGGATCAGTCCACAAGGGGGCAGGGGCTCATCAGGGGTGATGGGCTACAGGGAGTGGGGTGGGGCTTAGGAGGGGTTGGGGGCAATTGGGGGGCTGCGCTGCAGGGAGTGGAACGGGGGGCTCAGGAGGGGGAACAGGAGGCTCAGGAGGGGCACGGGGCTCGGGGGGCCGGGCGCTTATCGGGGCTCAGGAGGGGGCTCAAGCAGGGGGGAGCAGGAGGGGGACAAGGGGACTCAGGAGGGGGTCTCAGGAGGGGGCAGGGGACTTGGGGGGGCTCAGGAGGGGAGAGCAGGGGACTCAAGAGGGGGCACGGGGCTTGGGGGGCCTCAGGAGGGGGGAGCAGGGGACTCAGGAGGGGGCGCAGGTTTAGGAGGGGTTATAGAGGGAGCGGGGGGCAGGACACTTAGGGGGGCTCAGGAGGGGAGACCATGGGACTTATGAGGGGGGAGCAGGGGGTTCAGGAGGGGGCAGGGGGCTCAGGAGGAGGAGCAGGGGGCTCAGGAGGGGTGGGGGGTGTGACGAAGTGGGACTGTTCTTAATGTTTCCTCTGAATAGTGTGGGGGTGCCTCAGTTTCCCCTAGGGAGTTCTTAAGTATCTAGGGGGTGGAGTAAGGGTGTATGATCATTGCAGAGCCCTAGAGGGCAGGTGTGTGCAGGGGTCTGGACACAGAGAATGGCCGACACCCTGTTTCCTGGCAACTGATGCCCTGGGCCCTTCCCCCCTGCCAGGTGAGAGCTGAAGGGTTGGAGAACAAAGGAATCAGGTGACCACCTGGCCCGGGAAAGGAACAAAGCCCAGAGGAGGAGGGGCTGGAGAGAGTTTTCAGTTTGGGGCTGGCTGGGACATGGAGTGAAGTGCAGACGTGGTTGTCTGGCTCACTGCCCCCCAAAATGGACCCAGCTGAGGGGTCCCGTTCTCTGCACCTGCAAGCTCTGTTTTAGACCATGTTCCTGTCGTCTAATAAACCTTCTGTTTTACTGGCTGGCTGAGAGTCACGTCTGACTGCGAAGTTGGGGTGCAGGACCCTCTGGATTCCCCAGGAGCCCCGCCTGAGCGGACTCGCTGGGGGAAAGCGCAGGGAGAGGCAGAGGATGCTGAATGCTCCGAGGTCAGACCCAGGAAGGTGGAAGCTGTGTGAGCTGTGTGTCCTGAAGACAGGCTGCTCCCAGAAAGGCGACTGCCCCAGAGTCCTGACTGGCTTCATGGGGAGCAGTTCCAGAGCATCGCCCAGGGACTCCGTGACAACTGGTGGCAGCGGTGGGATGTACTGCACCCCGTGGATGGAGCTTCCTGCAGTAAGTGACTGGGGAGCAGTAACACGAAGGGGGATTGCCGAGGACCAGGCCTGCTGAAGGCTCAGAGAGGAGCGGTTTCGGGGGGCGGTTAACCCCTGGGAGTGTGTGACCAGCGAGAAGGACTGTGCAGTAACAGGGTTCCCCTGGGGACTGCAGCGAGCAGTCCAAGGGGCAGAGGAGTCTGCAGCTCGACCCTGGCAAAGAGGGGGTGACCTCGAGAAGGGCTGGCACACTAGGGGTTCTCCCTGGAAACCGTCGGGAGCTGAGAACACACGGGCCTGTGAGTCCACAACAACTTGGGAGGAGCGGAGTGACAGCCTGTCACCGTCTCCTTAAGAAGGACATTGTAACCCTGTGCAGAAAGAGAGGGTTGAGCGTTGGAAAGTTCACCAAAGCAGAGTTAATCGTGCAGCTGGAGGAGGATGACCGCTCTAAGGAACAGATTCCTGACCCCAACTGGGGCTATAGCAGGATCTGGGAGCAGCTGGAGCGGGAGCCAGGCATCGCCAAGACTCCTGTCCCCGACCAGACGAGGGTCTTCACGATCGGGTTCCCCATCGGGGGATCGAGACGGACGGGATTGGAGCTGAGTCTGAGAGAGCAAGAGGACCGTGGGAGACAGCGAGAGCCCGAGAAAGAGCTGCAGAAGCAGCAGCAGCATGAACTGGCGGTGGGGGAGCGGAGAGGCCTAGGGGACCTCCCAGGGTGAGTGGGGATAGATCCCGGGGGGCCAGTTCCGCAGGGAACCTCGAGACTAAATTGCTGCCCCTGGTTAAGGAGGGGGGGGGTGTGTGGATGCCCACCTCACTGCCTTTGAGCAGGCTGGCGATTTGAACCAAGGGGACCCTGCGGAAAAGCCCCGGTGTCTAGCTCCCTTGCTGGGTCCCAAGGCCATAGACTCCGTCAGCCAGATGGTTGGGGATGTGGACAGGCTCCCACTCCTGACCCCAACCTATATGTCGGTGTGGAGTTTCCTGGGGCCAGGCCCCCCGGACCTCCAGTGGGAGCAGAAGGTCAATGGGGAGACATTCTTGGGGTGGCCAAAGGGCATGGGCTGCATAAACCTTCCCACATGCGGCCTGCGAGTGCTATGCAGGCTATCGACCACCCCTGACCTAAGGGAGGGCGTGATACTGGAAGGGCCTGGTGTAACTCCTACCAAGGAATGGGAGAGATGCTGGGGCATCCATGGGAACGTTGGTGGCTTCGAACTTCCCCAGGTCACCGGCTAAAGTGACCCCGCTCAGTTCGATCTCGAAGGGGGGAGAGATGTGACGAAGTGGGCCTGTTCTTAATGTTTCCTCTGAATAGTGTGGGGGTGCCTCAGTTTCCCCTAGGCAGTTCTTAAGTATCTAGGGGGTGGAGTAAGGGTGTATGATCATTGCAGAGCCCTAGAGGGCAGGTGTGGGCAGGGGTCTGGACACAGAGAATGGCCGACACCCTATTTCCTGGCAACTGATGGCCTGGGCCCTTCCCCCCCTGCAAGGTGAGAGCTGAAGGGTTGGACAACAAAGGAATCAGGTGACCACCTGGCCCGGGAAAGGAACAAAGCCCAGAGGAGGAGGGGCTGGAGGGAGTTTCAGTTTGGGGCTGGCTGGGACATGGAGTGAAGGGCAGACTGGGTTGTCTGGCTCACTGCCCCCCAAAATGGACCCAGCTGAGGGGTCCCGTTCTCTGCACCTGCAAGCTCTGTGTTAGACCATGTTCCTGTCGTCTAATAAACCTTCTGTTTTACTGGCTGGCTGAGAGTCACGTCTGACTGCGGAGTTGGGGGGCAGGACCCTCTGGCTTCCCTAGGAGCCCCGCCTGAGCGGACTCGCTGGGGGGAAGCGCACGGAGGGGCAGAGGATGCTGAATGCTCCGAGGTCAGACCCAGGAAGGTGGAAGCTGTGTGAGCTGTGTGTCCTGAAGACAGGCTGCTCACAGAAAGGCGACTGCCCCAGAGTCCTGACTGGCTTCATGGGGAGCAATTCCAGAGCATCGCCCAGGGACTCTGTGACAGGGGGCTCAGGAGGGGAGCTCGGAGGGGGCAGGGGGGCAGGAGGGGGCTCGGGAAGGGGCATGGGGTTTAGGGGGCCTCAGGAGGGGGGAGCGGGGGCCACAGGGAAGGGGCTGGGGAGATGGGGGCTGGAGGAGGGATGTGGGGCAGGGGAAGAAGGGTGGGGAGATGGGGGTGGAGGAAGGATGTGGGGCAGGGGAAGGGTGGGGAGATGGGGGGTGGAGGAAGGATGTGGGGCAGGGGAAGGGTGGGGAGATGGGGGTGGAGGAGGGATGTGGGGTGGGGAGATGGGGGTGGAGGAGGGATGTGGGGCAGGGGAAGGGTGGGGGAGATGGGGGGTGGAGGAGGGATGGGGGGCAGGGGAAGGGTGGGGAGATGGGGTGGAGGAGGGATGTGGGGCAGAGGAAGGATGGGGAGATGGGGGTGGAGGAGGGATGTGGGGAAGGGGAAGGGTGGGGAGATGGGGGTGGAGGAGGGATGTGGGGCAGGGGAAGAAGGGTGGGAAGATGGGGGGTGGAGGAGGGATGTGGGGCAGGGGAAGAAGGGTGGGGAGATGGGGGTGGAGGAGAGATGTGGGGCAGGGGAAGGGTGGGGAGATGGGGGGTGGAGGAGAGATGTGGGGCAGGGGAAGGGTGGGGAGATGGGGGGTGGAGGAGAGATGTGGGGCAGGGGAAGGGTGGGGAGATGGGGGGTGGAGGAGAGATGTGGGGCAGGGGAAGGGTGGGGAGATGGGGGGTGGAGGAGGGATGTGGGGCAGGGGAAGGGTGGGGAGATGGGGGGTGGAGGAGGGATGGGGCAGGGGAAGAAGGGTGGGAAGATGGGGGTGGAGGAGGGATGGGGGGCAGGAGAAGTGTGGGGAGATGGGGGGTGGAGGCGTATGGGGCTCTGTGCCGGGGGCCATCTTGGTGTCCATCCATCTGCGACTGGCCAACGCCCCCACAGCCCCAGGGCTCCCGGACAGGCCCCTCCCCACACCGCGCCTGCCCCCCAGCCCCATGCCAGGCCCCACCAGATGCCCCCAAGCCCCAGGGATGCGGCTGCGTCAGACGCCAGCCCCGGGCCCCCTGCACCGTGACTCCAGGGGGGCCTGGCCCCTACTCAAGGGGTGGGGAGCGAGGGCAGAATTGGGGGGCGCTGAGCTTTCCTCGTGGCCAAACCCCAAAGATCAGGGATTGGGGGATGGGACCCCAGCAATTTTAAGGGCAATTTCTTACCCCAACCCCCGCCCCTGCTGAAGGATTTGGGAGGTGACCCCCCGCCCCGGCCCCCGTTTTCAGAGCCACGTCCCCCAGCTTTTCCCCGCGCTGTCTGTCTGACCGCGGGGCCGAGGCCAGGCTCCCGTGACTCCGGGAGCTGGAGATTTTGGGCAAGTGCCCAGGACCGGGAGGGGCGGAGACGCCGCAGCAGGAGCCTGCACGTGCGAACCCCAGGGGGGCTGCGGTGCCCCCCGGACACCTGGGTTCTGGGAAAGGCGGCTGGCAGCTCCCAGCCCCTGGCTCGGCAGACATGGGAGCAGTGCCAGGAAGGAAGCGTCTGCACCGGGAGAGGAAACCAGGGTCACCGTCTGGGCCGGGAGAGCTGCTCCCGGGGGCCGGGGGGACGCTGTGACGGGACCCATGCCTGTGCCGGGAATTCCCAGCCTGCCCCATGGGGAAGGCCCAGGGAGCTGCCCCAATACAGCCCCAATGGGGCGCGGGGCCTGTGCCCTTGAGGGGGCGCCGGCTCCCACCCGGCCCTAGGGCTCGGGGTCCCATTGGGCGGGCACTGCCCAGACCCCGCCGAGACCGGAGCCCCATCGGGCGGGCGCTGCCCAGACCCAGCCGAGACCGGAGCCCCGTCGGGCGGGCGCGGCCCAGACCCAGCCGAGACCGGAGCCCCGTCGGGCGGGCGCGGCCCAGACCCAGCCGAGACCGGAGCCCCGTCGGGCGGGCGCGGCCCAGACCCAGCCGGGATCGGGACCCCGTCGGGCGGGCGCTGCCCAGACCCAGCCGAGACCGGGGCCCCGTCGGGCGGGCGCTGGCCAGACCCAGCCGGGACCGGAGCCCCGTCGGGCGGGCGCTGCCCAGACCCAGCCGGGACCGGAGCCCCGTCGGGCGGGCGCTGCCCAGACCCAGCCGAGACCGGAGCCCCGTCGGGCGGGCGCTGGCCAGACCCAGCCGAGATCGGGGCCCCGTCGGGCGGGCGCTGGCCAGACCCAGCCGAGATCGGGGCCCCGTCGGGCGGGCGCGGCCCAGACCCAGCCGAGATCGGGGCCCCGTCGGGCGGGCGCTGGCCAGACCCAGCCGAGATCGGGGCCCCGTCGGGCGGGCGCTGGCCAGACCCAGCCGGGATCGGGGCCCCGTCGGGCGGGCGCGGCCCAGACCCAGCCGAGATCGGGGCCCCGTCGGGCGGGCGCGGCCCAGACCCAGCCGAGATCGGGGTCCCGTCGGGCGGGCGCTGGCCAGACCCAGCCGAGATCGGGGCCCCGTCGGGCGGGCGCTGGCCAGACCCAGCCGAGATCGGGGCCCCGTCGGGCGGGCGCGGCCCAGACCCAGCCGAGATCGGGGCCCCGTCGGGCGGGCGCTGGCCAGACCCAGCCGAGATCGGGGTCCCGTCGGGCGGGCGCTGCCCAGACCCAGCCGAGACCGGGGCCCCTGTGACGAAGTGGGACTGTTCTTAATGTTTCCTCTGAATAGTGTGGGGGTGCCTCAGTTTCCCCTAGGCAGTTCTTAAGTATCTAGGGGGTGGGGTAAGGGTGTATGATCATTGCAGAGCCCTAGAGGGCAGGTGTGTGCAGGGGTCTGGACACAGAGAATGGCCGACACCCTGTTTCCTGGCAACTAATGGCCTGGGCCCTTCCCCCCCTGCAAGTTGAGAGCTAAAGGGTTGGAGAACAAAGGAATCAGGTGACCACCTGGCCCGGGAAAGGAACAAAGCCCAGAGGAGGAGGGGCTGGAGGGGGTTTTCAGTTTGGGGCTGGCTGGGACATGGAGTGAAGTGCAGACGTGGTTGTCTGGCTCACTGCCCCCCAAAATGGACCCAGCTGAGGGGTCCCGTTCTCTGCACCTGCAAGCTCTGTTTTAGACCATGTTCCTGTCGTCTAATAAACCTTCTGTTTTACTGGCTGGCTGAGAGTCACGTCTGACTGCGAAGTTGGGGTGCAGGACCCTCTGGCTTCCCCAGGAGCCCCGCCTGAGCGGACTCGCTGTGGGAAGCGCACGGAGGGGCAGAGGATGCTGAATGCTCCGAGGTCAGACCCAGGAAGGTGGAAGCCGGGTGAGCTGTGTGTCCTGAAGACAGGCTGCTCACAGGAAGGCGACTACCCCAGAGTCCTGACTGGCTTCATGGGGAGCAGTTCCAGAGCATCGCCCAGGGACTCCGTGACAGCCCCGTCGGGCGGGCGCTGGCCAGACCCAGCCGGGATCGGGACCCCGTCGGGCGGGCGCTGGCCAGACCCAGCCTGGATCGGGACCCCGTCGGGCGGGCGCTGCCCAGACCCAGCCGGGACCGGAGCCCCGTCGGGCGGGCGCTGCCCAGACCCAGCCGAGACCGGAGCCCCGTCGGGCGGGCGCTGGCCAGACCCAGCCGAGATCGGGGCCCCGTCGGGCGGGCGCTGGCCAGACCCAGCCGAGATCGGGGCCCCGTCGGGCGGGCGCGGCCCAGACCCAGCCGAGATCGGGGCCCCGTCGGGCGGGCGCTGGCCAGACCCAGCCGAGATCGGGGCCCCGTCGGGCGGGCGCTGGCCAGACCCAGCCGGGATCGGGGCCCCGTCGGGCGGGCGCTGGCCAGACCCAGCCGAGATCGGGGCCCCGTCGGGCGGGCGCGGCCCAGACCCAGCCGAGATCGGGGCCCCGTCGGGCGGGCGCGGCCCAGACCCAGCCGAGATCGGGGTCCCGTCGGGCGGGCGCTGCCCAGACCCAGCCGAGATCGGGGCCCCGTCGGGCGGCCGCTGGCCAGACCCAGCCGAGATCGGGGCCCCGTCGGCTGGGCGCTGCCCAGACCCAGCCGAGATCGGGGCCCCGTCGGGCGGGCACAGCCCAGACCCGGGGGGAGGAATGTGGGTGCAGACACCCACCCCCCCCGGCCTGTGGCGCCCCCAGGCTCGGTCTGGCAGCCAGGGTGATGTGGCCGTGAGTCAAGTCGAGAACACGGGCCGGTAGCCGCAGGCGCCCGGAGCAGCTGTGATGAAGCCATGGCTCATCCGGCTGAGAGCACTCAGGGAAAGTGCCGGGCCGAGTCCTGGCCCCCCCCGCCCTGCACAGGGAGCCCCCACATTGCTCCCCCCCCCCCCGGCTCCAAGTGTGGGTGTCTGGGGCCCTGCCCCAAGCCCCGCTGGGGCGCCAGGCTCTCCCTCTGGGTCAATATTGACCCTCCAGCCCTTCCCCCAGAGCCAGCTGGGTAAACAGCCTCAGGGATCTGGCTGCCCCACGCCCTGGTGCGGGGGGGGGGATCCCCTCTGGGAGCCAGCACCCCAGCTGGGAGTTGTGGGGACACGGGGTGTCTGGGAATGGGGGGGGGTGTCAGGGCAGTGGGGGGCCACGTCTTTGCAGAGCCTCCTGGCCCCCCAGGAGTGTCCCGGTTGGCCCTAGCACCCCCCCAGCTCCCCAGCAGGTGAGCCCTACGGCAGCAGCCCTCCCAGCTCCACCCTGACCCGGCTCTTCCCCCAGTGACCCCCTTGCCCTCACGCCCGCCCCCGCGAACCGCTCAGTGGTTTCCCAGAAGCTGGCACCAGGCTTTCCCCCGCCCCACGCTTGGAGGGAATGACAGGCTGGGGATCCCCACACTGGGACAGCTGCTGGGGGGCTGGGAGCCGCGGGAGCTGTTTTTTCCGGGTCGGCGTCCTCCCCCCAGCGCACGCCCCACACCACCTGTTTCCTCCCTCCCCCCGGGCACTTCCTGGCCACTTCCAGGGTGTTTTGCGGCTGCCTCCAAAGGGGAACCCCGCGGAGCGGGATTGGGGGCGCCAGCTCTGATCTGCCCTGGGCTGGGGGACTTGGGAAGGCAGGGAATGGGTCACAGGCCAGCCTCCTCCCACCCTGCCCTCTGCCCCTGGCCCTGCAGGGCATCACTCAGAAGGTGCTGGCCCGGTGGGGGGGGGGGGGGGGGGGGCCTCGCTGGCTATTTTTAGCTCCCAAAGCGTTCCCTGGGCACATGGAAAGTTCTGGAGTCCGAGGGATTCCATGGCCCCCGCCACCCCCGCAGTGCTGTCAGAGGCGGAAATAGCTCTGGGTTTTGGGGTTTGGATCCAGCCCAGCCCCAGACCTGCTCCTGGCTCTAACCACTGGCCCCCACTGCCCTCCCAGAGCCGGGGAGAGAACTCAGGAGTCCTTGCTCCCAGCCCCCCTGCTCTCACCCACCAGCCCCCACTCCCCTTGCAGAGCCAGGGAGAGAACCCAGGAGTCCTGGCTCCCAGGACCCCCTGCTCTAACCCACCAGCCCCCACTCCCCTCCCAGAGCCGGAGAGAGAACCCAGGAGTCCTGGCTCCCAGCCCCCCCTGCTCTCACCCACCAGCCCCCACTCCCCTCCCAGAGCCGGAGAGAGAACCCAGGAGTCCTGGCTCCCAGCCCCCCTGCTCTCACCCACCAGCCCCCACTCCCCTCCCAGAGCCGGAGAGAGAACCCAGGAGTCCTGGCTCCCAGCCCCCCTGCTCTCACCCACCAGCCCCCACTCCCCTCCCAGAGCCGGAGAGAGAACCCAGGAGTCCTGGCTCCCAGCCCCCCTGCTCTCACCCACCAGCCCTCACTCCCCTCCCAGAGCCGGAGAGAGAACCCAGGAGTCCCAGCTCCCAGCCCCCCGGCTCTAACCCCAGCCCCCACTCCCCTCCCAGAGCTGGGGAGAGAACCTAGGAGTCCCAGCTCCCAGCCCCCTGGCTCTAACCACTAGACCCCCGTCCAGGCCCAGGCTCTGAGCGAGTGGGTCAGGAATGCCGGCTCAGCCCCTGGTCACTGTGGGGAGACCCTGGCCGTCGGCTCTGGATGATGAGTGGCTGGGATGGAATGTTCTGCCGGTCGCCCCCTCGTCCAGTCACCAGCAGACACAGGGGCCTGGGAACCAGGACTCCTGGGTTCTCTCCTTGGCTCTGGGAGGGGAGTGGGGGCTGGTGGGTTAGAGCAGGTGGGGCTGAGAGCCAGGACTCCTGGGTTCTCCTCCTGGCTCCGGGAGGTGACCGGGGGCTGGGGGTCACTGGCAGCAGCGGGGGGCTGTAGGGGCGGGGCAACGGCAGCCCTGTCCCTGTTTCTCAGCACTCGGAGTCAGATCCCAGTTTGCGGGGGCTGCTGGAGTCTTGGGGAACCAGCAGGGATTCAAAGCTCCCCTTGGCAGCCGGCCCCGGCCACAGCGAGATGGGGACCAGATGTGAGTGGCTCAGGGCCGGCGTGGGCTCGCAGGCCTGAGTCACAGCTGTGGGGCGAGGCTGGGGTCAGAGACCCCCAAACCACAGTCTCTGCCCCCCACCCAATCTGTACATGGCCCTGCCCGCTCCGGCTCAGCTCAGGAGACAGAAGGGGGCCCTGTGCCTCCTATTTCTCAGTGGGCCCATGGGGGAGCCAGTCCCCAGGGCTCTGCGGGGGCTAAATGGGGACCTCAGGCTGCTGCCCCAGTGTGGAAGGGAGGGGTCCATCCCCTCTGATTCCAACCCCCTGCAATAAGGCTGGAGCTGGGGACCCCCGGAGTCAGAGCCTTGGCAGGGCAGCCAGGAATTTGAGGCTTTGCGGGGCCGGCTCTGACTCAGGAGCCGAGGACACAAGGCCCAGGGGCAGCCTGGGGCATGGAGCTAACTGCCCCCAGCTGCCCCTGCCCCGCAGCAAACCTGGTGCTTCCCATTCTCTCAGCCTGCCAGACCCCCACACACACCTGCCCCTTGCTCCTGCCCCCCCCCAGCCAGGCCTGTGATGGGATCTGGGCGCGGGGAGGGCAAATGATCAGGGCGATTCTAGGTACATGTCCCACCAGAGGGAGAGAACCCAGGAGTCCTGGCTCCCAGCCCCCCCGCTCTAACCCACCAGCCTCCACTCCCCTCCCACAGCTGGGGAGAGAACCCAGGAGTCCTGGATCCCAGCCCCCACCCTCCCACCTCTAACCCCTAGACCCCACTCCCTGCCCAGCTGGGGTGGGGTGGAACCCAGGCGTCCTGGGGGGTGGGGGGCTGGGTTGTGAGTTTCTCATCCAGGGAAGTGAAAGCCAAGGGCTATTTTTGGAAGTGGGCTGTAGCCAAGGGCAAAAATAGAAGCTGGGAGTCACCCCCCGGCCCCCCCAGTTCCCCACCCGGTTCATGACCCCACCAACCGCAGGCCGTCCGCCCCCCCCCCCAGTGTGTTTCCCCCAGTCTTTGCCAACATTCCAGCCCCTTTGTGAAACTTCCCCACAGGCGGCCTTCCTGTTACCCCACAGGAAGGGGGCTGACATCAGCCCCGCTGGGGGGGGAATCCCGGGGCGGTCATCGAGGGGACAGTGGTTTCACCCATGACAGGCCACTCTGGAAAGATGTGGCTCAGCCCGGGGGGGGGGAACGCTCCCTTGGGGGGAAGCCCCCCGAAGCTCACAGCCCTCCCTCCCCCCAGCAGTTCAGGGTGGGGCAGGGTCCCAAGCTGGAGGGGGAGAGCTGGGAGACCGTGGTCCAGAAAGGGGGCCCCGGGGAGCTCAGAGTGACTCTGGACTCGGGGCAGGGGGCCATGCAGGATGAGGTTGTGGGGCAGTGGGTCATCAGGGCTGGGGGGGAAGGATGTGGGGATGTTCCCATGAACCCCCCCTTCCTCTGGACCCTGTGTCCCCCTGCCCCTGGGCTGGGACACCCAGAGCCCCCAGAGACACACACACATGCACACGGAGACACCCGACCACATGCACACACACACACGGAGACATGCAGCCACACACGGGCACCCCCAGCCAGACACGCACACAGAGACACCCAGACACACAGGGAGAGACCCAATCACACACACACACGGAGACACCCGACCACATGCACACACACACACGGAGACATGCAGCCACACACGGGCACCCCCAGCCAGACACGCACACAGAGACACCCAGACACACAGGGAGAGACCCAGCCACACACACACACACATGGAGGCACCCAGCCACACACGGGCACCCCCAGCCAGAGACGCACACGGAGACACTCAGACACACAGGGAGACACCCAACCACACACACACACGGAGACACCCAGACACACAGGGAGACACCCAGACACACACACACACACGGAGACACCCAGCCACACTCAGCCACACATGCACACACACACAGAGACACCCAGCCACAAACACACAAGGAGACACCCAACCACACTCACATACGGAGACACCCAGCCCTCCCCCCACACACACACACACACGGAGACACCCAGCCACAAACACATAGAGGCACCCAGCCGCAAACACACACAGAGACAACCAGACACACACACACACACACACACACAGGTCTGTCTGACACACACCTCCACACCCAAGTTCACATGCTGAGAACCTCCTCCCTGTAGAAACAGGCGTTCGCCCCTCGCACACTACTTCCCCAGGCAGACACTGCATCTGTCCCAGCACAAACCCCTCACACGCACAGCTGTCTGACACACACCCTGCCAAGACAGGCCTGTCTGACACACACCCTGCCAAGACAGGCCTGTCTGACACACACACAAACACACACACACCCTGCCAAGACAGGCCTGTCTGACGCACCCGCACACACACACACACACAGTGCCAAGACAGGCTTCTTGTTTATTTTGTTCCAGAGCTTCCCCATAGCAACGTCCCCCAGCTCTGCCCCCCAACACAGCCCCGCCAGTCTGACCCAGCTCTGCCCCCCTCATCCCCCCAGGGCCAGACCTGGCAGCAAGGGGGAGATGCACTGGGGGGGGGGGGACACAGCAGAGGATGCTGTCCCCTGGGGGGGGTCACTGTGCACTGGGGCAGCAAAAGGGACTCAGCCCCCCCTTTTATCTGGGGGTATCGCACCCCCCTGGTGAGGACGGCGGGGGGGGGCTGGGGCCCACAGTGAGCGCATCAGGGCACAGGGCCACGCCTGCCCTCTGGGGTCCCCGATGCCAGCAGCCCTCGGAGAGGGAAGTCGGGACAGGACAGGAACCCCAACCCCCCGCCCTGCTGGCTTCCCCCCCCCCCCCACCACACACACACACACACACCAAGCCAGGCGCTAGGACCTGGGGACTGCAGCCGTGGAGGGGTGTCCCGTCCCCCACGCAGAGGGGGGGAGGAGAAGGGGGGCGGGGCGGGGCGGGATGAGTTCACCCGGCTTCCTGCGCCCTGGGCGCACGGAGAGCGCATATAAGGCGGAGGGACCGGGGCGCTTGGCACAGCCTCTGGGTCCCGGCACGTCTCCAGGTGAGCACAGCGGCTGGGGTGGGGGGCGCGCACACACACCGGGGGCCGGGCTCTGGGCTCCCTGGAGCCAGCCCGGGGCGTGCGCCCTTGGACAGCCCCCGCTTAGGGGATGGCGGGGTGTCCAGGCTGGAATCGGCCTGGGGTTGGGGGCTTACGGGGAGCCGTGGGGGGCTTACGGGGAGCCGTGGGCTGTTTGTAGGGGGGGCGAGTAGAGGTGCCACTAAGCGCTGATGTTCCACGCGGCTCCGGGAGGGGAGTGGGGGCTGGTGGGTCAGAGCAGGGGGGGCTGGGAGCCAGGACTCCTGGGTTCTCTCCCCGGCTCTGGGAGGGGAGTGTGGGCTGGTGGGTCAGAGCAGGGGGGGCTGGGAGCCAGGACTCCTGGGTTCTCTCCCCGGCTCTGGGAAGGGAGTGTGGGCTGGTGGGTTGGAGCAGGGGGGGCTGGGAGCCGGGACGCCTGGGTTCTCTCCCTGGCTCTGGGAGGGAGTGGGGCTGGTGGGTAGGCAGGGGGCTGGGGCCAGGACTCCTGGGTTCTCTCCCCGGCTCTGGGAAGGGAGTGTGGGCTGGTGGGTTGGAGCAGGGGGGGCTGGGAGCCGGGACGCCTGGGTTCTCTCCCTGGCTCTGGGAGGGGAGTGGGGGCTGGGGGTTACAGCAGGGGGGCTGGGAGCCAGGACTCCTGGCTTCTCTCCCCGGCCCTGGGAGGGGAGTGGGGGCTGGTGGGTTAGAGCACCGTGAGTGGCTGGGAGCCAGGACTCCTGAGTTCTTTTCTAACCCTTCCTGCTTTCTCCCTCTAGGATGCAGCTCCCACTAGTGGTTCTGGCCGGCATGGCCCTCCTGTGCGTGGCCGACCCGCTGCGCCACCCCACCAGCTCCCGTGTGGCCCATCTCTCTGCCGACTTTGGGGTGAAGGTTTTCCGGGAGGTGGCCAAGGCATCCCCGGATCGTAACGTGGCCTTCTCCCCTTTCGGGGTGGCCTCTGTGCTGGCCATGCTGCAGATGGCAGCTGCTGGGGAGAGCCGGAGTCAGATCAAGGCAGCCATGGAGTACGGGGTCAATGGTAAGGGGCTGGGGAAGGGGCGCTCTCCCCAACAGTCAGTACTGGTCCTAATGCCCCAGCATGGTGCGAGTGGGCCCCTGTGTAACCAGCCGCCCCGCCCCAGAGGTGGCTGCATCTCAGCGCCGGGCAAGGGGTCCCTGGATAACCAGACACCCTGCCCCAGACATGGGCGCATCTCAGCGCCGGGCGAGGGGTCCCCATATAACCAGCTGCCCTGCCCCGTCTCCACACTGTGAGATACCCTTCATAGCGTTAACCCTTCATTGCCCTGACAAGCCATGCCTCCCCTGCAGAGCGGGGCGTCCCCCAGGCCCTGCGGTGGCTCCGCAAGGAGCTGACGGCCCCGAAGAACCAGGACAAGGTGGACGTTGCCGACGCGCTCTTCGTGCAGCGGGACCTGGGGCTGGCCCCCGGGTTCATGAAGACGTTCACCCGCGCCTTCCGCCAGACCGTCAAACAGGTCAACTTCACGGAGGGCGAGCGGGCTCGCTTCATCATCAACGCCTGGGTCCAGGACAGCACCCACGGTGAGCGGCTGGGACTCCTGGGTTCCCTCCCTGGCTCTGGGAGGGGAGTGGGGGCTGGTGGGTCAGAGCAGGGGGGCTGGGAGCCAGGACTCCTGGGTTCCATTGCCCTCTGACCCCCAACCCCCGCCCGTGGTTGCAGGGATGATCAGTGACTTCCTGGGGCCGGGCACCGTGGACGACCTGACCCGCCTGGTGCTGGTGAACGCGGTGTATTTCAAGGGGCTCTGGAAGCTGCCCTTCCCGGAGGCGGCCACACGCTGGCGTGTCTTCCACAAGTCGGACGGGAGCAGCGTGGTGGTGCCCATGATGGAGCAGACGGCCAAGTTCAACTACGGTCAGTGGCGGCCCCTGGCGGGGGTGGGGGGCGGTTGGCGGGTCTGACCCTCCCCAGCCCGGGCGGGGAGCGGGGGGTGGCGGCCCTGCCCTGTTAACCCCGTCTCTCCCCGCTCCACCCAGGCGAGTTCTCCACCCCGGACCAAGTGGACTACGATGTGCTGGAGCTGCCGTACCATGGGGAAACGCTCAGCATGCTCATCGCTGCCCCGTACCGCCGAGAGGTGCCCCTGGCCGCCCTGACCCGAGTCCTCGACGCCCGGCTGGTGGGCGAGTGGAAGGCGAACATGACCCGAGTGCCCCGGCTGCTCGTGCTTCCCAAGTGAGAACCCGCCCCCCCTTGTCCTCAAGCCAGGATGCCTGGGTTCTCTCCCTGGCTCTGAGAGGGGAGTGGGGGCTGGTGGGTGAGAGCAGGGGGGGCTGGGAGCCAGGACTCCTGGGTTCTATTTCTGCACCAGGGCACTAGGTGAAGCCCTGGTGCCGATGTGGTACTTCATGGGGTTTTCAGTGCCCACACTCCCGGGGCAGACACTGGGGGGGCTGCAGCTGTTTCCACCACCCCACTCCTGGTGCTGAGCCCCTACTTCGCCCCCCTACAGGTTCTCCCTGGAGAGTGAATCCGACCTGCGCCAGCCCCTGCAGCAGCTGGGCGTGAGGGACGTCTTCAACCCCAGCGCCGCGGACTTCACCAGCCTCTCAGGTGAGGGCCTCACCCCTGCATGGGGATGCCCCCTCTGCCCACTCTGTCTCCTACCTGCCTGTGCGTCGTCCCTCGGGTGCTGGGAGGGGGGAGGCACTGGGGCCGGGACCCCGGCTCACGGCTCTGTCTCTCTCTCTCTCTCACAGCCGAGGAGTCTCTGTACGTGGCCCAGGCCCTGCAGAAGGTGAAGATCGAGGTGAATGAGAGCGGCACCAAAGCCTCCTCCGCTACAGGTGAGCGGGTCACTGGCCTGACGGCTCCCAGGGGTGCACTGGGGGCTGGCCTGGGAGCTCCCCATCCCACGGCTTCGCCTCAGCTGGCCGGCCTGGGGGTACAGAGGGGCCAGCCAGAGAGCTTCTCTAGTCTGCCATGGCCCATCCCACGGGGGCATTGAGCGCTGTGGCCCCAGGTGGGTGGGGCCAACATCTTGCAGCTCTGTTAGCGGGACAGCCCAGCCGACTCCCGGGGGTGACGTCTGGTTCCTTTCTTCCAGCCGCCATCCTCTACGCCCGGATGGCCCCCCTGGAGATCATCATGGACAGGCCCTTCCTCTTCATGGTGCGGCATAACCCCACAGGTGAGGATCAGTCCCTTGTCCTGAACAGCTGGACCCTGTTCCCTCCCAGAGCCAGGGAGAGAACCCAGGAGTCCGGGCTCCCTGCCCCCCTGCTCTCATCCACCAGCCCCCTCTCCCCTCCCAGAGCCAGGGAGAGAACCCACAGTGCCCAGCCTCTTCCCTAAGGCTTGAGGAATGCCAGGAAGGGCTCAGCCATGGGGCCCACCTACCTTGGCACCCTGCTGCCCATCCCAGCTGTCAGAGGACAGGGCAGGGGCTCAGCACCATACAGCTTGGTGTGGGCCTGTGCCCTCTGGCCTACGGTGAGGGAAGGAGAGAGTGGTGTGGGGAGGGGGAGCAGTGGAGCGGGCAAGGTTGGGAGGAGGCCAGCTGTGACCATCTTGACTCCCCCAACCCACTCACCCCCTGTTCTCTGCCCCCCAGGTGCCATCCTCTTCATGGGACAGGTGATGGAGCCCTGAGCGTGGGGACCCCCCCCTGCGCTAGGAGCAGACTGGGAAGCAAGCCCCTCTCTGGGGGCAGGGGCTCTGCCCCACCCACCCCTCCCAGTGTGAGGAGGAGGTGCCTGTCCTGTTCAGTTTGACTCTGGGGGTGTCCCTGCCCCCCCCACTCCCCACCATGGATTTCAGGGCAGCAGGCCCCTCAAGGGGGCCTATGCCACTCAGTGTTGGCACCATGTCGGACGGTAGTCGCTGGGCTGTCCCTGATGGCCGGAAATCCCAGGTATGCTGTTGCCCTGTGGGGCCCAGCCTGGGGCTTGCATCTACCCCACAGCGACTCAGTTCCCCTGGTCCTACCGTGCCCGGGCCCCAGGATTTGCATGGATTCCAGGGGGTTTGCACTGGAGGCTGCTACCTCACCCTCTCCTCTGGGGGGGGTGTCAGGAACCCTCTTCTCAGTCAGGGGGGCTAGGGGGCCCCCCATGGGCTGGGCATGAATGTATGGGAGAGTAATATATTGTAGAGGACCTAATATATTCCTAGCTTTGTTTGCACTTGAGGGGCCTGCATGGGGTGGGTGGGCGAGGGGGGTGCCCCAAAGGGGCGGCCAGAGCGATGCCGCTCTGACCTTTTGTCCACTGTGGAAGCACAAACTCCCCGTTTCTCCCCCAAGACCTGCTCTTCTGACAGTTCGGCGGGCGCCTTAGGGCAGGCGGGCAGCCCTCCTTTTCTCGGCCTGTGTCGCTCCCCGCCGCGCAGGAAGCCGGGTGAAGCAATCGGCACATGCGGCCGGCAGGGCTGCGCGTGCAGATAAGGGCCGGTGGTGAGTCACCCTCACCAGCCGCACGCAGCCCCCCAGAAATATCAGCAGCTGTTTAAAAATAACTGAGGTGGTGTGGGCCTTGGACAGTCATGTTTTCCCACCCCCTCACCGCCCACAGCTTCCTCCTCAGTGTGAAAGGAACAGCACGCAGGGTGGGGATTTAAATACCCCACCACTGACCCCAGGCATCCCGCTCAGCAGTGCCTTAAAGGGCTGTGACCTTAGCCGCCCTGAGGCACCATCCATTTTCCTATACCCCCCCCCCGGGGCCTCTGGTGTGTGGGGACCCCCTCTCCTTGCCCGGACCCCTCTCTCCCCTTTGCGGCGAGGCAGGATTTCTGTACTTGTATGGGATGTGCCCACGTGTGGGGGTGTGTATGGATTTTTGAATGAAATGGTTTCTATTACACTTTTGAGATGTAAGAAAAGCAATAAAAAAATCTCTATGGAAACACGGTGTCGGCTTGGTATGGCCCCGGCCTTGCTCGCTGCCCCTATCCCTGGCCCTGGCACCCTGTGTTCTCCGGATCCACGGGCCCACCCCCTGGCACCCATGCTCTGCTCTGAGCCCTGATCCCTGCCCGCTGGCTGTGGGAAGGGGCTGGGGTGGGGTCACAGGCTGTAGCGGGGGCTGATAAATGAGGTGTAGGGTCAGCCCTGCCCCATGGCATTGGGGGGCAGCACTTGCTGCAAGGGGAACCCCCCCACCACTACCCTCCAAGCCCTGCTCCCTGCAGCACACACCCCCTCGCGCAGCAGTGGGGTCAGCCCTGATTGCAGGGGTGTGCCATCCACCCATTCCTTCCTCTATGGGGCAGGCCCTCGGCCTTCTTACCTGCTGGCAGGGTGGCGGCCTCCGAGTGGCAGGGGGTGGCTTCCCTCTGGGTGCGGGGCTCAGTTCGGCCTGCGGCACCCCCTTCGCTCGGTCCTGTGCGTGGTCGGCGAGCTCCGCTGCACGGCGGCGTGGTGCGGGGGGGACGAGATGCCCCGGGGGAGAGGGGGCAGAACCCCGGGCCTAGCTGTGCCCCACCCCATCCTCCCCTATGGCCCACCCCATCCTCCCCTATGGCCCCCCTCCCCTTGGCTGTGCCCCCCTCTACTCAGCCTTGGCCCTATCCCTCCCCCTCGACTTAGCCATGGCCCCCATTCCCCCGTGGCCCCCCTCAACTCCACCATGCTCCCATCCCGCATGGCCCCTTCCACTCTGCCATGGCCCCCATTCCCCCATGGACCCCCTCCATTTTTGTCCTGGGCCCCTCCTGCCCCATCCCCCCCTGCCTTCAGGCCCCCAGGATCCTTCACCTGAAAGGCCCCCACGATCCCTGCCCCCCAACACTCCCTTCCTCTGTCCCGGCAACCACCTCCCTGCGTTGCCATGGAGACACACCCAGCCCCTCCCCTGGCCCCACCTCCCTCCACCTTGCAAAGGAGGCAGGGCCCCCCAACCCGCCCCCCCCACCTATCGTGCCCCCCGTTGCCATGGACACGGCTCCCATTACCGTGGTTACAGGTCACCCGCCCCCGCTGCCATGGTTGCAGGTTACCCACCCACCCACCTTGCCCTTGTTGCCATGGAAACAGTCCCCTCTTGCCCCCGTTGCCAGGGTTACAGGTCACCCGCCCCCGCTGCCATGGTTACAGGTTACCCACCCACCTTGCCCTTGTTGCCATGGAAACAGCCCCCTCCTGCCCCCGTTGCCATGGAAACAGCTCCCCCCTCCTCTTTCCGGAAGAGGCTCCTGCCCCTGGCTATGGGTCCCTCGCCCCCTCCATTCTACCCCCGTTGCCATAGTTACAGATCCCCCCGCCACCCCTGCCCCCGTTGCCATGGAAACGGCTTCCCCCGCCCCCGCCCTCTTGCCCCCGTTGCCAGGGAGACGGCTCCCCCCTTCCCCCCTCCCGGAAGTGGCTCCTGCCCCGCGATCCCCGGCGCATGCGCAGCGCGGCGAGGCCGGGCCCGGGCTCGGTACCTGGCCAGGTTGAGCGAGGCGACCGGACCGGACCGGACGGGCCGGTGGGGGGAGGCGTCGCCATGGTGAGCGCGGGGGGCCGGGCCGGGCCGGGCCGGGCCGGGCCGGTGGGGGGGGCTGGTGCACGTGGCAATGTGGGGGGGTTGGGGGGAACCTGGGGGGGGGGCTGGAGCACCTGCCGATGCGGGAGGAGGACTGGGGGGGCCGTGGGGGGTTGGGGGGAGCCGGGGGGGGCTGGCCCGTGGGGGGGGGCTGGAGCACCTGGCGATGCGGGAGAGGGACTGGGGGGGCCGTAGGGGGTTGGGGGGAGCCGGGGGGGGCTGGCCCGTGGGGGGGGGCTGGAGCACCTGGCGATGCGGGAGGGGGACTGGGGGGGCCGTGGGGGGTTGGGGGGAACCGGGGGGGGCTGGCCCGTGGGGGGGGGGGCTGGAGCACCTGGCGATGCGGGAGGGGGACTGGGGGGGCCGTGGGGGGTTGGGGGGAACCGGGGGGGGGCTGGCCCGTGGGGGGGGGGCTGGAGCACCTGCCGATGCGGGAGGGGGACTGGGGGGGCCGTGGGGGGTTGGGGGGAGCCGGGGGGGCTGGCCCGTGGGGGGGGGGCTGGAGCACCTGGCGATGCGGGAGGGGGACTGGGGGGGCCGGGGGCCGTTGGGGGGAGCCTGGGGGGAGCTGGGCCCGTGGGGGGGGCTGGAGCACCTGGCAATGCGGGAGGGGGACTGGGGGGGCCGTAGGGGGTTGGGGGGAGCCGGGGGGGGCTGGCCCGTGGGGGGGGGGCTGGAGCACCTGGCGATGCGGGAGGGGGACTGGGGGGGCCGGGGGGGCTGGGCCCGTGGGGGGGCTGGAGCACCTGGCGATGCGGGAGGGAGACTGGGGGGGCCGTGGGGCACTGTGCCCCTGGGGAGGGGGGCTAGGGGAGAAGGGCAGAGGCTGAGCTGGGGGGCAGCCCACAGATGGCAGCTCAGGGTGGGGGCTGGGCTGGGGGCGGGGGGGCACCCTCGGCTGGGGCCGCTGGGTGCTCACGGACCCAGGAGTCCGGGCAGCAGGGAGCGGAGATGGCCAGTGGGGCTGGGTTGACGTAGAATCCGTTACATTTCGGGGGTCGGGGCCCAGGGCGCATCTGCCCCACGCACTGTCTCGTGAACAGCCACGTGAACGGTGCCCCCCCCCCCGCCCCCAGCTCTGCGATCTGAACCCGCCTGCCACGTGGCTTGTGTCCCTGCTGGGAAACGGCTTCGAACACTGTTGCCACCCCTAGTGTAGACAGGACCTGGGTGCCGGAGGCAGGGCCGAACCCCTGAGCTGCGGCAACACGCGGGGGCTGCGTGTGACGTTTGCAACCCCGAGGGGCCGGCTTGTTGCCGCCCCTAGTGTAGACAGGACCTGCGCGCCACGTGTCAGGCGCTGTGCGATTTGCGTGGTGGGTGATGGGGCCCCGCTTGGGGTGCTGTGTGGCAGCACGGTTGTCACGGGGTGGTGCGGACGTGTCGAGGAGAGGTGTCACACCCCGGAGCAGTCCCGGGTGGAGCTAGGGCCTGTGTGGCCCGTACGGGGATCGTGTGTGTTGGGGGTGGGGGGGAGAAGCAGTCGAACGGCTGTGATGGGACTACGCTGTTGCAACCCTTAGTGTAGACAGGAGCTGTGCGTCCGGCCGGGCCCGGCGCAGGGTCCGAGCGGCTCCTCCTTGGAGCCCCTTTGAAAGGAGTGGGGCTGCCTGGGGTCGCCGGGCCTGCCCCAGCGAACAGCCCGGGCAGGGCTACGGCAGTGCATCGTGACTAATGGCGGGGCCCGGGACGGGTCCGGGCCCGGCGATGACGTCTCCATCCGGCTCCCTGGCGGGCCCGGAGCGGGTGGCTTCCGGCTCGCCCAGCCACGGGCGCCTCGATCCTTGGCCGCCTCGCTAGCCCCTCCGGGGCTGGGGCCTCACGTGGGGCCTGGGGGGGGCAGGGCTGCGGGACACCCCTCCGCCGGGGGCTGGGGTCTGCCGGCGACACCAGCCAGCAGCTGCTTCTGCGTGGCAGCCCGAGGGGATGGGGGTCGCCGCCAGCCTGCTAGGGCCCTCGCTGCCCCAGCCTGCCACCCGCCGCGCGCTGTGTCACAGGGTGGGGAAACTGAGGCGCGGAGCGGGGGGTGGGACCCAGGCGTCCGGTCTGAGCCGGTCTCGCCCCCCGCCCCCGCAGATGCGGTTCATGCTCCTGTTCAGCCGGCAGGGGAAGCTGCGGCTGCAGAAGTGGTACCTGGCCACCTCGGACAAGGAGAAGAAGAAGATGGTGCGGGAGCTGATGCAAGTGGTGCTCGCCCGCAAGCCCAAGATGTGCAGCTTCCTGGAGTGGAGGGACCTCAAGGTGGTCTACAAAAGGTGATTCCCCCCCCCACACACACACACACACACACACCCCCACCCCGCCCTTCCGCTCACCTGGCGGCCCCGCCCCCCTGGCTGGGAGCAGCGGCGGCCCCACCCCGCCGCCAGGTGAGGCTCCCGCCGTGAGTCAGCGACTGCAGCTGCCTCCCCGCCCTGCCCCCCGCCAGGGCGAGGCCCGGGGGTGGCGTGAAGCAGAGGGGGCCAGGGAAGGACCCGTGGGGAGCGGTCGTAGCCCCGTCCGGACAGGCAGCGGCCAGGGGCCCTAATGGGGTGGGGGACTTTGAGGGAGGGCCCTCCCCCGCCCCGTTTTGAAAATCTGGCCACTGAAGGCTGTGTCCAGGTGCCCCCCCTTCCCCCTGCCAGTCACCCCTCGGAGTCCTTGGCTGGTGCGTGCCAGGGCCCAAGCCGCCTTCAGGGGGCGCCAGCAGCCCATTAACGGCTCATCTAGCGGTGAGGGTCCCAGCGGCGGGGGGCAGCCCCAGCAGCCAGCCCCCCCTCACACGCACAGACCCCCCATAATCCCCTGCACACACAGCTCCCCCCTCGCACGCACAGACTCCCCATAATCCCGTCCACACACAGCTCCCCCCTCGCACGCACAGACTCCCCATAATCCCTCCCACACACAGCTCCCCCTCACACGCACAGACCCCCCCATAATCCCCTCCACACACAGCTCCTTCTCACACGCACAGACCCCCCCATAATCCCGTCCACACACAGCTCCCCCTTCACACGCACAGACCCCCCATAATCCCTCCCACACACAGCTCCCCCTCACATGCACAGACCCCCCCATAATCCCCTCCACACACAGCTCCCCCCTCGCACGCACAGATTCCCCATAATCCCTCCCACACACAGCTCCTTCTCACACGCACAGACCCCCCCATAATCCCGTCCACACACAGCTCCCCCTCACACGCACAGACCCCCCATAATCCTCTGCACACACAGCTCCCCCTCGCACGCCCGGACCCCCCATAATCCCCTCCACACACAGCTCCCCCCTCACACGCACAGACCCCCCCATAATCCCCTCCACACACAGCTCCCCCCTCGCACGCACAGACTCCCCATAATCCCTCCCACACACAGCTCCTTCTCACACGCACAGACCCCCCATAATCCCGTCCACACACAGCTCCCCCTTCACACGCACAGATTCCCCATAATCCCTCCCACACACAGCTCCCCCTCACATGCACAGACCCCCCCATAATCCCCTCCACACACAGCTACCCCTCGCACGCACAGACTCCCCATAATCCCTCCCACACACAGCTCCTTCTCACACGCACAGACCCCCCATAATCCCGTCCACACACAGCTCCCCCTTCACACGCACAGATTCCCCATAATCCCTCCCACACACAGCTCCCCCTCACATGCACAGACCCCCGCATAATCCCCTCCACACACAGCTCCCCCCTCGCACGCACAGACCCCCCATAATCCCTCCCACACAGAGCTTCTCCCTCACACGCACAGACCCCCCATAATCCCCTCCACACACAGCTCCCCCCTCGCACGCACAGACTCCCCATAATCCCTCCCACACACAGCTCCTTCTCACACGCACAGACCCCCCCATAATCCCGTCCACACACAGCTCCCCCTTCACACGCACAGATTCCCCATAATCCCTCCCACACACAGCTCCCCCTCACATGCACAGACCCCCCCATAATCCCCTCCACACACAGCTCCCCCCTCGCACGCACAGATTCCCCATAATCCCTCCCACACACAGCTCCTTCTCACAGGCACAGACCCCCCCATAATGCCGTCCACACACAACTCCCCCCTTGCACGCACAGACCCCCCCATAATCCCTCCCACACACAGCTCCCCTTCACACGCACAGACACCCATAATCCCTCCCACACACAGCTCCTCCCTCGCACGCACAGACCCCCCCATAATCCCCTCCACACACAGCTTCCCCCTCGCACGCACAGACCCCCCCATAATCCCCTCCACACAAAGCTCCCCCATAGTACGCACAGACCCCCCCATAATCCCTCCCACACACAGCTCCCCCCTCGCATGCACAGACCTCCCATAATCCCCCCCACACACAGCTCCCCCCTCGCATGCCTGGACCCCCCATAATCCCCTCCACACACAGCTCCCCCCTCACATGCACAGACCCCCCATAATCCCCTCCACACACAGCTCCCCCTCGCACGCACAGACCCCCCATAATCCCTCCACACACAGCTCCCCCCTCGCACGCACAGACTCCCCATAATCCCTCCACACACAGCTCCTTCTCACATGCACAGACACCCCATAATCCCTTCCACACACAGCTCCCCCTCACACGCACAGACCCCCCATAATCCCTCCCACACACAGCTCCTCCTCACACGCACAGACACCCATAGTCCCTCCCACACCCAGCTCCCCCCTCGGACGCACAGACCCCCCATAATCCCCTCCACACAAAGCTCCCCCTCGCACGCACAGACCCCCCCATAATCCCCTCCACGCACAGCTCACCCCTCGCACGCACAGTCCCCCCATAATCCCTCCCACACACAGCTCCCCCCTCGCACACACAGACCCCCCCATAATCCCTTCCACACACAGCTCCCCCCTTGCACGCACAGACCCCCCATAATCCCCTCCGCACACAGCTCCCCCCTCGCACGCACAGACCCCCCATAATCCCTCCCACACACAGCTCCTTCTCACACACACAGACTCCCCATAATCCCCTCCACACACAGCTCCCCCCTCGCACGCACAGACCCCCCATAATCCCTCCCACACAGAGCTTCTCCCTCACACGCACAGACCCCCCATAATCCCCTCCACACACAGCTCCTCCTCACATGCACAGACCCCCCCATAATCCCTCCCACACACAGCTCCTTCTCACACGCACAGACCCCCCATAATCCCCTCCACACACAGCTCCCCCTCGCACGCACAGACCCCCCATAATCCCTTCCACACACAGCTCCCCCCTCACACGCACAGACCTCCCTATACTCCCCCACACACACAGCTCCCCCCTCACACGCACAGAACCCCCTTAATCCCCTCCACACACAGTTCCCCCCTCGCACGCATAGACCCCCCATAATCCCCTCCACACACAGATCCTTTCCCACCACCACCACCCTAGGGGAGAAAGGAATTTTCCTGGTGCCAGCCCCCCCTAGAGGGGACAGGCCCCATGTCCCATTCCCCGGCGCCCTGAGCCAGCTAGTCCCCGCCCTGGGGCTGGATGGGGGTCGGTGCCCCCTAGAAGCAAAAGGCCCAATTCCCTGCCCCCCCCGAGCCAGCCAGTCCCCGCCCTGGGGGCCGGGTGGGAGTCAGTGCCCCAGTCTTACCCCGTCTCCAGGCCACTCGCTGGCCCGTAGCCTGCAGTCTGTCGTCATCCTTGCAGACCCGTTGCTGGGCTGGGAGCCAGAGCCCAGCTGCCCCGCCACACGGCATTGTCAGCACCTGCCACGTGCCACGCTGGCAGCCCAAGCAGAAGCACTGGAGGGCTGAACGGGCCATGGGGAACCTGGGGGTGGGGGGCAGTTTCCCCTTGCACTGCCCTGCTCTGGGCCCAGGAGGAGCAGGGGGCATAACAGGAGGGAACAGGGAGAGTCAGGGGTCTCTGACTCTGCACGTACTGTGGGGCCCTGGGATTGGAGCCGGTTATGGGGAACGTGCAGCCTCCCATGTGGCCCCCCCTGCCCCCCCCAGCTGAGCTCTCTGCCGTGCACCCCCAGGTACGCCAGCCTGTACTTCTGCTGTGCCATCGAAGGCCAGGACAACGAGTTGATCACGCTGGAGCTGATCCACCGATACGTGGAGCTGCTGGACAAATACTTCGGCAGCGTGAGTGCGGACCCCCCACGTGCACCCTGCAGCCGGGCACGTGGGTCTGGGGTCCCGGGGGCATGGGGCAGGCAGTGACCCTAGGGTGGGTGTGGTGCCGTGGAGACGGGCAGCGGGACTTGCTGATCCTAGGCGAGGGGCCTGGGTGACCCCGGGATCCTTTCATCCGTGCGGAGGGCCCCGTGGGTGGATGGACGCTGGCACGTGGTGTCAAATCCCAGCTAATCCCCTGCGCATTAACTCTGCCTCCTTAATCCCCCCAGGAGCCCTGCCCGCTGAGCTGCGGGGGATAGAAACGCTAATTGGGCTTAGCGGGGCCTGGTCTAATCCGGCTAATTCCCTGTCACGGAGCCGCAGGCTTTCGGAGCGACCCCAGGGCCCCACTCTGCCACCAGGGCAGGTCCCGTGGCCTCAACACCTCCTAGACTGAGCCTCCGGGCTCCAGCCTCCCGGGACTCCCCCGCCCGGGCGCCGTTCCGGAACAGGGGTGTCTCGGTCACGGGGACGCAGCCCAGCTCACGCTGCCCAGCTGAGGTGGCCCCTGTTTCCCGGCTCGCGCTCTCGGATGTCCTTCCCCAGGCAGGCCAGCAGAGAGCGGCTAGCGTCTTCCAAAGCCCACACTGCGCGTCCCCCGCCCCGCGGCTCTCCGTCCTGTGGTCTCCAGCCGGGGTCGTGCCCAGCTTCCCTGCGGAGAGCCGGGGAATCCGTCGCCAGGCGTTAATGTCCGGGCCACCGGGTTTGCCGCTGATCTGGGCTGGCCGCGGCCAGTCCTTTCAACGACCCGTTCAGCCCACCCGGTGGGAGCAGAGGCTTCGTCAACGCTGCCACGCGGGCAGGAGTAAGTCGTGTCGCTCCGGGGTGGGGATGTTCCACCCACGCCCCCCGGAGCGGCGTAAGTTACACCGCCCTGCGCGTCACGCTGTGCTGGCAGGAGCAGGCTTGGAGCCAGGACTCCTGGGTTCTCCCCCCGACCCCGCTCCGGGCAGCCCTGATTCTCCCCTCTCCTTCCCTTCCGCCCCAGGTATGCGAGCTGGATATCATCTTCAACTTTGAGAAGGCCTATTTCATCCTGGACGAGTTCCTCATGGGCGGGGAGATCCAAGACACCTCCAAGAAGAGCGTGCTGAAGGCCATCGAGCAGGCTGACCTGCTGCAGGAGGTAGGGGGAGCTGGGGGGGGTGGGTTGGGCCTCTCAACGGGGGAGCGGGGGTAACCTGCCAATGCTTCCCCCCCACCCCCCAGCTGGAGCAGAGCCAGGAGTTGCAGCACCAGCCGCAAGCCCCAGAGCGCTGGGTTCATGCCGCGGGGCTGGGCATGGCCTGCTCCCGCCTGCATCCCGAGACAGGAATTAACCCCTGCCGGCACCCCCGGACACAGGGCTGCCCTCCAGCTGGGCATGAACCCCTGGGGTACCACCGCGCTCCCGGGGATGGGGATCAGAGCCCAGCCGCCCCCTCCCTGAGCAGCCCCCCATGTTGTCCCCTAGGTGCTGCTTCCATGACCACATCCATTCAGACCCCCCAGCCAGGTCATCCCCCCACACATACATACACTAGTGGCTGGGGTGAGGGGGCTGGGAACCTGTGCGCCCCCCCCCCCCCCCCCCCGCAGTGTCTCCAGCCCCAGCTGTGTCGCAGTGCGGGGGGTGGGGTGGGGGGGCCCCCAGCTCCTACTGCAGGTGCTGTTTCATTGCCTGGTCTGTGGTGCAGGGGGATGAGTCACCGGCTCTGCAGCTCTCTGCTGTGCTCAGCGTGGGCGACCGGGCTGCCAGCAGCCACTTCTCGCTCGCAAACTCCAGCAACCGCCCCGCCCGGCGCCCGAGGGGTTAACGCCCGGGCTTGGGGGGTGGGGGCGATTGGGTCCCTCGCCCGTCCCCGGAGGGCGCTGTGGGGCCAGCGTGGCGGGGCTAATGCCAGGCCAGGGTGGTAACTCAATCCAGCCCCTTCTCCGGCACCCTGGGGGTTAATGCCAGGGTGGTGAGAGACATTCCCAGGGTCCCAGCCATCCTGGGGGCACTAGGCTGGGGGGCGCTAGACAGGCCTAGCTCAGGGGGCAGAGGTGTGGCCCGGGGTCTGGGGACAGGCCGGCGAGGCTGAGACCAGCCCAGTTATTGGGGGGAGGGGGAAAGAGAGTTCTCAGCGCCCCCCACTCTGCCCACAACGGGGGTCGCTGCCCTCTCTGGGGCTGTCCCTGGATCCCAGCCTCCTGCAGCGTCTCTGCCACGGGGCTCGAACCTGCTCACGGTGTGTGGGGAGGACGGAGGGACTCTGTCTCCCGCCCCCTGACGTCCCCTCCCTCCCTCCCCCTTATCTCTGTGCTGCAGGAGGATGAGTCACCCCGCAGCGTGCTGGAGGAGATGGGGCTGGCGTAGCGAGTGGTTCGCTGTGCCTCCCCCCCCGCCCCCACCCAGTCCGTCCCGGCTTCGTCGGACACTGCGGGGGCTGCATCTCCGTCTCCCTCGCCCCGTGGGGCAGCAGCCGGACGTGGGACCAGTTCTCCCTGGAGCCGACGGGGGGGTGAGCCCCATGAACTGTGTGTAAAGATATATATACCACTCGGGGGGCCCACGGGACCCTGCCAGAGCCCCCCACCCGGGTCCGTCTCCTTCCCTGCTCCCAGGCGTTCTCCTTCCTGCTGATGGCCTCTCAGAGTAGGGAGAGGGTGGAGAGGGGAGCGGCTGTTCACTGCCTGGCCAGGGGGGGCCTATGCAGAGCGATCGCCCCGACACACTGATCCTGCTGCCGCCCGGAGCAATTGCGACGCCACAGCTGGGTACCGCTGGGCCGGGGGCTGCAGGCCGATCCCGGGGTCCCATTTCCCCCGGCGTCTTCGTGGGCGGGGAGCTCAGGGCGTGGGGGAGTGCGTGTGCCCCCCCCCTTCGGGAAACGGGGTCCCCCCCCTTTGGAATAAAGTGTGTGTGGAGAACTTGGCCGTGTAGAGTGAGTTTTGTGGGGGGGGGGGTTCTAGCTAACCCCAATGGGTGCGTCTGCACCTGCCTCCCTCCCCCCGTCTGCTGTGTGCAGTAAGTTTTATATGGCTCCGCAGCCGGGGTCGCTCTCGAGGGTCTGTCCCCACCCCACCCCCCGTGCCTAGAACAACCAACCCCCCTGCGGCTGGGGCCGCCTGCACCCGCTCCCTGGAACAGGCTGGGCGGCCTGCAGGATGCCAGGACAGCAGGTGGGTGGGCAGCCTGGCGCTGAAGCCTGGGCCTGCCTGGAAGGGGGGACAGTTCTCCCGTTCCTGGGGCTGCTGCGTGGAACTCGGGTCAGGCCCGAATTCAGCCAGTCCGGATAGTTCTCCCGCCCTCAGTCCCCTCCGGGAAATTGTTGCTGTTTAACTCGGCTCCTCTCCCGGCAGCAGGCCCACAGCACTGCTCGGCCCCTCCTCTCCCGCTGTGAGAACGCAGCCCCCCAGAGCCAGCCCGGCTGGCGTCGAGGTGAAAGATCTGGGCCCGGCTCCTGGTGCTGGAACTCAGGGCTCCTGCTCTGACATAGTCCCTCTGTGTGGCCTCAAGAACGGCCGTACCGGGTCAGCCCGACAGTCCATCCAGCCCAGTGCCCTGTCTGCCGACAGCGGCCAGGGCCGGGGGCCCCAGAGGGAATGAATCATCCAGTGATCCGTCCCCTGTCGCCCATCCCCAGCTCCTGGCAAACAGGGGCTAGGGACACCAGCCCTGCTAATAGCCATTGCTGGACCGTCCTCCAGGAACATCTCTAGTTCTTCTTTGAACGCTGTTATAGTCTTGGCCTTCACCACGTCCTCTGGCAAGGAGTTCCACAAACTGACTGTGCGTTGTGTGAAGAAATACTTCCTTTGGTTTGTTTAAACCCTCTGCCTGTTCGTTTCATTGGGTGGCCCCTAGTTCGTGTGTTATGAGAAGGAGTCAGTAACACTTCCTTCTTTGCTTTCTCCACACCCGTCATGATTTTATAGCCCTCTGTCATACCCCCCCTTAGTTGTCTCTTTTCTAAGCTGAAAAGTCCCAGTATTATTAATCTCTCCTCGTACAGCCACCGTTCTACACCCCTAATCATTTTGGTTGCCCTTTTCTGTATCCTTTCCAATTCCAATGTATCTTTTATGAGATGGGGCGACCACATCTGCACACGGTATTCAAGGTGTGGGTGTCCCACGGATTTATAGAGAGGCAACATGAGATTTTCTGTCTTATTATCTCTCCCTTTCTGAATGATTCCCAACATTCTGTTCACTTTTCCGGCTGCCGCTGCACATTGAGTGGATGTTTTGACCTTGGGTGAGTCACTGCATCTCTCCAGCCTTGGTTTCCCTGTGTGTGAATGGGGAGAATTTGTCTATTTACATTATGACAGGTTTCAGAGTAACAGCCGTGTTAGTCTGTATTCGCAAAAAGAAAAGGAGGACTTGTGGCACCTTAGAGACTAACCAATTTATTTGAGCATGAGCTTTCGTGAGCTACAGCTCACTTCATCGGATGCACACTGTGGAAAGTGTAGAAGATCTTTTTATACACACACAGCATGAAAAAATACCTCCCCCCACCCCACTCTCCTGCTGGTAATAGCTTATCTAAAGTGATCACTCTCCTTACAATGTGTATGATAATCAGGTTGGGCCATTTGTGCTGGAAATAGCCCAACTTGATTATCATACACATTGTAAGGAGAGTGGTCACTTTAGATAAGCTATTACCAGCAGGAGAGTGGGGTGGGGGGAGGTATTGTTTCATATTCTCTGTGTATATATAAAGTCTGCTGCAGTTTCCACGGTATGCATCCGATGAAGTGAGCTGTAGCTCACGAAAGCTTATGCTCAAATAAATTGGTTAGTCTCTAAGGTGCCACAAGTACTCCTTTTCTATTTACACTGTAAACTCTGTAGGGCAGAGACTGTCATTCACTTTGTCTGTGCAGTTCCCAGCACAAGAGGGGAGAACCCCAGTTTTGGTCGGGAGTCTGTGAGGTGCCCAGAACAAGGGGGGACCCTGATCTCAGTCGGGGGGAGTGGTCTGTGCGGCACCTGGCACAAGGGGCATTTCTGGATGATGAGCCAAGTTAATGCCTTAGATGCTACCATGATATGTGTAATAGCTTACTAGGTTTTCATACCGCCATCTGTCCTGTGGACCCCAGACCAGGGAATCTCAGCCAGACACGCCTGCATCCTGCCTGTAACAGGCAGCTTAGGCCAGTTGCTTTGAGGGCCTGTGGGGTCCCCGCTCTCGGCTGGGGTCTGTGAGCTCTTGGCAGTAACGCCAATCCCAGGCAGTGGGGACAAGGCTAAGAGCAGTGTGGATCAGTTGGTAGGGGGCTTATGCACAGCTGGGTGAAGATCATACCACTCCCTAGGTAGATGGTGAGGTGGCATTCTCTCGAGCCCCGGGTGCTGGCTGCTGCACTGTGGGGGAGACTGGCCTGCAGGGGCAAATGGCTATGCACCAGTAAGATAAAAGGAAGGTGGTTTCACCGGGGATCCAGGTTGGATATACCCATTGATCTGACCTGAGGTTCTGGGTGGGTGTGGTGGGATCTGGGCTGGATACGCCCATTGATCTGACCTGAGGTTCTGGGTGGGTGCGGTGGGATCCGGGCTGGATACGCCCATTGATGTGACCTGAGGTTGTGGGTGCGGTGGGATCCGGGCTAGATAGACCCATTGGTCTGACCTGAGGGGTGGGCGGGGGCGCTGGGATCCAGGCTAGATATGCCCTTGGTATGATCTGAAGCGTTGGTGGGTGTGGTGGGATCTGGGCTAGATGCGCCCTTGGTTTGATATGATGGGGGGATGCCAGCCTGGGTGGCCCCATTGGCCTGGGGTGGAGGCGAGGCAGGTTCTGAACCAGACGGGCCCACTGGCATAGGATCTCCGTAATGTCTCCTCGGGGACCCCAGTGCCATCTGTAAATAATGAGAGTAACTCGTAATAAAATAGTTGCTTTTATTTCTTAGCAAAACTAGTAATTCCACATGCTATTTACAACAGGCCAAATGTGTTTTATTAAGTACGACACAGAGGTCAGGACATCGAAACAAACGGCACAGGACCGGGAACCGGACGCCACAAAGCCAAGAATCTCACACACTCGGAAACTGGATGCAGGTGAAAATACACGCGCAAACGCCCTCAGTACAACGCCCATCCCTAAGCCGCGCGCTCCCCCGCCGTCAACGGCAGCCTCTTCGTGGGTTAGAACTGATCAGTTGCTTGGCTGGAAATGCTGGTAGTTTCCTTAGGATGCTGGTTCTGAGTGTTCGGATGGTGGTGAATTCGCAGCAAGACACAGCACGCGGCATGCCTGGCAGGGGTTGGGGGGGCATGTTTTTGGGTTGCGTAACACTGGCAGAGTCACAATATTTAACCTCGAGCTTCGGTGTCAGTTGATGGAAGAAACAACCCGGTGGAAAGATAGCTTGATAAGGCAGTTTGGTATGGAATATCTCACTCTGTTCTCCCCTCATTCCTTCTCTGGAGGGCGGCCACCTGCAAAGCTTAATTCTGGGGCAACAGGAAGGATCAGTGTGGGATCGTCCAAGAGAGAAGGTGTGTTGGTGACCTAGATCCGGGCATGTAAACCTGCTACCCTGGAGCTCTTCTGATGACCGCCCCTATTGGACGCCCTTCTCCAGAATTCAGAGTCTTCATCTCGAGAGTCTCTCGCAAAGAGACTCTGGCTCAACCACCAGATATGGGCTGGGGGTCTGTGCTCCACCTGAGTTAGGTAAGAGCTCAGACAGGATGGCATTGAAACCTGTTTGTGGCCCCTGTAAGTGTTAGGATCGGCACCCCTGAAGTCAAGTCGCCAGTTCCTTAAAGTCAACGGAGTGGTGCCGATTTTACCCACCCGCAGGGCAGAGTTTCCCCTGAGTCCATAAATCCCCCCGCCGCCTCAGGACTCTCTGGCTTTCTCCTCCCGCGAGGAATGGCCAGAAGTTCATGTTGAAACCAACCCTCTCCGTTTTTTCACATCCACATATTGCGCGTCCCTTCCCTGCGTTCGTGTTTGAAAATTGTACAGAAGGGAGGAGGGTGGGAAAGTACTGAGATGAGAGAAGGAAAAACACCCTGAAGCCGAGAGATCGTCCTGGTGGGATGGTAATTTTGGAGCCAATTGGGTCTTTGCTCTGTTTTCAGTGACCTGGTCTAGATTTTTTTGGACTCCCCTCACTGGCTGCTATCCAGGATCGTAAGAGGGGAAGTGAGCAAGTTGCCTCCGTTTGCCCATCCGACTGGGGTTTGGGGACATTCTTCATGTCCACACTAGAAGGGGCTGGGGCAACTTTGGGCTGGGGCACTGGCTTTGGAGGATTCTGACGCGCCTGAGAGCTGACGACACACTGGGGTCTTGTCCCTGGGGGCTTGGAGAAGAGAGTCGGGATCGGGTTCTCTCTGGGCTGGCACCTCCTGTCACCTGCACAGAGCGTCTCCTCGGAAGGAGGGGGGAGGCGTGTTCCTTCGATGGCCGGGCAGGCCCACGCCTTCCACAACACCCGCCCCCCCCTCCCCCCATTCCTTCAAGCGCGGCAGGTTTGGTGGGGCCCTGGGAATCCTGAAGTCCGGGGGGGGCGGCGCGGGCGCGGGGAGGGAGGGGGTTTGTTCTCCTGACTCATGCACAACCTGAAATGCTTGGGACACTCAGAATGACCACGCTTCTCCATGGGGAGATGGGGCTGGGAGGATTGAGATTTCAGGGTGGGGGGGTGGACCCGATTCACTGGAACGCCTGGCCATGGTCCATCAGCACCTGCTCGATGTAGTTCTCCATCTCGTCTTCTCGGGCCCGGCTGGCGGTGGCGGCCTCGTCCCTGGGCGCCAGAGAGCCCGGCAGGTGGCGGCTGCGGTGGAAGGATGGCGGCGGAGGCAGCTGGAACGCCCTGGGCTGGATGTAGTTGGAGAAGTCGTTCTGCTTGGCCAGGTACCTCTTGGGGTAGTCGTCCCCGTGCAGCACC